AGCGATTCGAGCAATTTATAATTTTAGCAATCGTTGTTCATTGAGGCAGAAAGAAAAATGGCTTGTCTCCATACAAAAAAATATTTGGAATCAAATTGCATCGTCTTGTGGTGAAAAAAAATATGTAAAATGTGTAAAACTATCTTTGTTTGGAAAAGGCTAGGCTACTCTTTTTGAAAGAGTCCAGAGGTACTTATATTTTCTTCTATTAAACTCAATTAAAAATATCATTGTCATTCGATTGTCACAAATAATAAAAAAAGTGCTCTAGAGAAGTTAATATATTTTAACCAACTAATGCCTACAGCCACACCAAAAACATGTTATCTTGATTAAAATTTTAAAGCACAATAATTCAACTAATTGTCTCATAGCGAAAACGTTTTATCTTCCTTCCATCAAGCCAGTCAGGGCTAGTCATAAATATAGCTGTGAAACCAGAAGGTAGAATGTATTTACATTTGTGCATATTTAACTAAAACTTATTACTTCGTCAATTTCCTTACACATTTACGAATTTGTAGTATTCCTAGGTATATAGACCTTTTTAAGGATTATTTCACCAATATGACGCAAATAGTCGATGATCTTGATTTCTAATCTAATGGTCAACTTACCTACGACATTTCTAAAATATGTAATACAAATATTATTACATTCGATAGTGAAATTAGAATTTTATTCAGGCACTGATCACAAACAAGTCAAAACAGGAGCTTAACTGAACGAGACAGAGTTCTAAAATATTTTAAACTAGCTCGAATACAATTTAAAAATAGTTTTAAGTACTTAGGTACATTAAATTTAAGCAAAACATTTATTTAATAAATACTTAAATTATGTAGATAAATATATATACGAGTATATAAACTGAATCTCGGAAACGGCTCCAACTATTTTCATGAAATTTTAGTATGCAGGGGGTTTCTGGGGCGATTAATCGATTTACCTACGTTTCATTATTAGAAAATTTACCAAAAAAAACATACAGAGCAAAGCTCGGTCATCCAGGTACAAAATGTTAATATACGGTAGTGTAATATAAAGGTATGTAGCCTCTTACTGATTTCACACGTTCATATGTTTTTAGTTTTTCAGTTATGCATGCATTTGTGATTGTAATATTTTATGTGCAATTTATAACATAAAATATATGCAATTGAACATACCTGCAAGTATATAATACATACATATGTCAAACACTGCTAATCAGTAAAGGCAAAACAATATATATTTTACAACTGTTGAAGCTGTAATCCGAGAATTAGCTATTGAGAGTAGTTTTAACTTCAGCAGAATCAAAGTGAAGATCTACTTTGTATCTGTATTTGTATCTCTTTCAGTTAATATACAGTGAACAAATAAATGATTTTACAATATATAATGTTGTATATGCATTCGTATAAATTATAAATATAAATGTACATATAATTTATGTTGTATACATATTTCGGATTATACAGAATGTTAGGGACACCGTAACTAATACTGAAATGGTGTATACAGACTATCATTCTGACTCCAAAATCGTTGGAATTTTGTACCGGGAAATTCAATCAAATGATATCACAATGAGTAAACATTTTTTAATAAATACCGCATAAGGCCAAAAACTGCAATGTAATTAATCAAACAGCGTCAATTATTGTAAAATAGGCAAATATAAAATACGGTCAATACAGATCCAAACGTAACATTTTTTATATATTCTTTACGGTATTATATGGGGGAAAGTGGGTAGAAGGGTCATCTGATAGGATGTGACTACTGCCGGCGCCGCCCATATGCATATTCACACAGGCACACTACTCACATCACCATACACAACATATATAAACTAGACATTGAACGACACACACACACACAAAACCACAATAAATTGCCCAAGTTCTCAACTCAAATTAAAACACGTGCTGCACCGGTTTCCACCATTTCTGAGGGTTCAGGACTGTGTTATATTATGTAGCCTAGCTGGGAAGACAGCACTCAACCACGATATTATTGTAGACTTCTAATTGTAACACAAACTCATCATAATAAACGTAAAATTGTGAAAACCTACAATCTCAGTTATACAATAAAAAGTGACTATTATTATTATATTACCTACACTGAACTCAGGAGACACTAATGCGTTAACTTCACTCATTGAAATACGATTTTACAATTTAACTCATGACTGATGACTGATATACATGACGTTATCATTATCAACAACCTTTACTAGTCCACTGCTGGACACAGGCTTCTCCTTAGAAAGGAGGTTTTGACCTACTATACCTCGCTGGACGGACGGGTTGCTTCAAGGGTTTGTTTCAAGTTTTTGTTCTATTTGCAGTGCTGTTGTCCTGCGTAGTTTGCGCCCTTAGTCGGCATGACATGACGTATATTAATAAATAATACACTTTATTGCAATAACGCTATAAATCTCGACACAGACAAGACCATACAAATCATGTAAAAATAGCATCCATGGGGTTCTACTGTGTATCCCGACGACCATATTGACCAGTGCTTAGGGGTCTGTTCAGGTCACGAACTGGGCGACAAATCTGTAAAGAATATTTTGTTTAATGGCTACTTAGTCACTATCATAGTTGCATTATTATTATTAAGGAACATAGGTATCTTGCTAAGTGGTGTAAGTAGATAAGATCGAAATCGTGTAATCAAAGAAGATTTTTGATAAAAAACGGGTAATAATACCTTTTATGACAGTTGTGAGATCAAAAATTGATCGAAACTGAATTGTGACCGAACTTTTATTACGAGAATTGACCTTCATAGTCATAGTCATTTATTCATCAACAAATTATATTGTATTTGAAATATAATAATTAATAAAATAATAGTAATAGTATTTATCATAATTGTGTCATCATTAGTTATCATTTATGCAATATCATTAGCATTTTGTAACAGTCATTTTAATATAACAGTAATAATTAAATATGTCTAAATAATATAATGTCACTGGTTATCTTACATATGCATATTTTGGATAATTTAATTCAAATAAATTCACTCTCTTTTAACAAGTCATCAATAGTATAAAGGTATCTGTCCAAAAGGAAAGCTTTTAATTTTATTTTAAAGGAACCTGTATTTAACTGTTTATATCCTCAGGCAACATATTATACAGCTGTATCGCTTTATATCTAGCGTTGTGTTTTACGACATTTAATTGGGAAATAATATACGTTTTCTTTTCTACGTGTCTCTACCGTAGCTTTTCTTTCAGTTTATTTAGATTGTTGGATCCATATAATTAGGTAGCAATAAGAGCGTACTATCGTACTTACGTATCTAGTTTCGTATATACATAAACAGTTGATCACAAATTAACTATTTGATGCAACTTACGCAACTTACAATTACCGTGTCTTTACATTTACCATTGATCGTAAGCGAAACAACTATAAATTTCAATAGACGTCTTAAATACTTACCTAAATTCTGCATTTGGTGGTGGCTAACAACCACTGCGTATCTATTTTCATCAGGAAAACTGTTCTTCAAATCGACACGGATTTCTGCTTCTGTTTTTGCATCTGGTATAAGAAATGAGGGAGGTACACAGTATATTTAATCATTTTTATCAACGTAGGTCACTCATGCGGTACTTAATGCAGTATCCAAGGGACAGTATCCAATGCTTCGGTCTCGCCGACTCGCAGCAACTACCACCTACGAAAATAATGCAGCGTGCGACTGGCGATGAACGACTATTTGTGACCGATCCATGGCAATTCATAATTTTGTTACCTATTTCAGGTAAGTACTGAACATACTTATTGTTTGGTTTTGTGAAGTGTACTTAGAGCGGAAATGGAAACAGTGTCAGAACTTTTATTGTTGATTCATACCTTCAAATAGATGAGAAGAAGGAGAAGATTTATGGGACGTTACGAACTGCATTTATTGAGTCTCTTGCATCCATTAGTATAATAAAACAGATAAAAAAAGTTCGCAATTCTGGCGACTGGTCGCTACAAGTCTTGCTGCTACTAGTCGTCAGTTGCAGGAACGTTGCACTAAGCCGTTTAGTTCGCGGCGTTAAGGCGCTGCGAGTCAGCACGAGCCCTTATTCGAAGCGAGACAATATATTTACAACGATACTTGCACTGATTTGTACATAATAGGTACCGTATGTATTAACTAAACGAAAACAGCATAATCGAAACGCAGGTTGCCTTGTACTCTCACTTAATTAATAAATAAGCACTCAAAATAAATTATTCCAATCTGATATGATGTTACCAGAATTGTAAAAAGTTGCAAATGAGAATGGTTAGCAATTGCTTCAGTCCTTTTTTATGTCGATGCTCATTCAGACAGTGCAAAACGACGCTTCCTAAAAGTATTGTTCTAAAAATCTTGTTATTTTTTCTGAACTTGGATACCGTTAAGTTTTAGTAGGCTTAAATTTGTGTTTAGTAAAACTATCACGTTTTATTTTTTAATGTGATAATGCATTTAGGAAGTCCTTACTCCATTGCAAGACCATCTTTTAAAAGCCTAATTTGTTGAATTATAATTTAAAAATGCATTATTTTTTTCATAAAATTATCTACTACAAAGTTGTGTAGGTACCTTGACATACTACACTCCACTTTATGACATCGAAGATTTACATTTATGAATACTATACTTACAAATGTGTACCGGAGTAATTGGAAGTTCTTTGATTGCGGTTGTAACTTCTGGACTAGTTGTCAAAATTGTACTTGTAGCTAGTGCTAAAATTAATAAAAGTTATCATATTAATCCCTAACAGCAATATCGACGTAGATGTCAACTACAATAAACAAATAATTACAAAACTAATATTAAGTTTGATTTTTTATAGGCTAAGGAATTAGAGTCAGATCTCAAATCTCTAGTTTATTACATATTTAGTCGCCAAAAAACGTGCTTCTACATACTTTGATTTGTTCATCGGATCAGTTTAAAAAGCTGTTACCATAGTTTAAGATTTAGTTTAGGCTAAAAAGTTATTACTAAACCGCACTTTTAATATTAACTTTTAGGTTGCCTTTTATTTTAGGCTCATAAAAATTGCCTTTCAAATCTATTAAAAACTGGATATGCCTGGGATTGTCTTCATACTTACTGTAAACTGTGACGTCATCTCTGGCTGTACCCAATGAATTCTCGGCATAACAATAATACGAGCCGATATCTTTTCTTGTAACGTTTTTTACTCTGAGACTAGCCGTGTGCTTGTACTCCGTCGATTTTAAATTCATTTCATATTTAGAACCTGTATAATAGAAAAATAAGAGATGTCTAAAAAAAAAAAATAAAGAAACTATAAGGTATCTGCTAAAAATAAGCTAAACATTTTGTTTTTATAAAGCTAAGCATTTAAATTTTAAAAATAAGAATTGGTCGACCAATTGTAGTCTACTGTACCATAGGGTCTGGGATATACCGCATCAATAAATTTACAATACGTGCGTGTGAAAATACAAATAAAAAATATGATAAATCATTTAGATACGCAATTTATTCTTACTTCACTATCAGATTCATTTAGTTTTACCAATTAACAATAATATTTAAAAAATAACACATACATAAAGTTGTTAAAATTCAAATTTTATCACAGTAACTTACCATTATAAAGCTTGTTATTAACTACATGCGTCCAAAATACAACAGGGGAGGGATTCGCTTCAATCATGCACTTCAGTAACACTGTTTCGCCTATGTATGCCCCTGCCATCTTCTGTGAAAGATGTACTGTGGGTTTACCTAGAGAATGTAAAATGATTTTAAAATTTAAATAGCAGAGACAACAGTTAAATGGAAGAGCTCGTTCCAGAACGTGTTTTTAGTACTAAACCGCGTATCTCAGATTCGTAGATGCAAAGACAGAAAGTAATAAATTCAAAATAGAGGTACAGACAAAGTGTATTATATATATATCAATTTAAATATTTTACTGGTCTATTGGTTTATCGGTTAGTGATCTTGATTGCTAGGCCAGAGGGCGCGGGTTCGATTCCTTCCCGTGATAAATATTGTGTGAGAACGATCATTATTTGTTTTGTGTCTCGGTGTAATTTATATATAATATGTACGTACTTAGAATTATTTAAGTAATGTTTATCAGCAGTCTGGTTACCATAGCACATTCTATTCCTCTAATTTGTGAGCTGACGGTAGTGTGTAAGATGTGTTGAAATAAAAAAAAGGCGTGTAGAAGTAGCTGATTAATATGATAATAATATGTAAAAAAGATTGAAAAACATCGATCGTAGTAAAGTAGAGACAACGATCAAGTGGTGTTGCGACGAGTACTCTTTTCTGATTCGTTAAATGTCAAAAATGTTAATATCATGTAAACAATATTTTTATCAATTGTTTTGTAGGTATCGACGAGTGCATTTTCCTAAATGTCTACATAACCACAGTGTAATGTATAATATACTGACCTATACAATATACTGTATTTATAATATTATATTCACTTATTTATTTTATTTATTTATTGAAAAGAAACGTAGCTCACAACTGTCAAGTCCACCACGCAGAATATCAAAAATATAAAATAATAAACGGATTAAGAATACGGAATGTCACTACCCCAATTCATCCCGTGGGAGTCGTAAGAGCCGACTAAGGGCGCAAAACAACGCAGGACACCAGCACTGCAAAAAGAAGGAAAACTTGACACAAACCCTATACCAACCCGTCTGGCCAGCGTGGTATAGTAGGCCAAAACCTTCTTTTAAGGAGAGGCCTATGTCCAGCAGTGAACTATTAAAGGCTGTTGATGTGATGTTATGTGATGTGATGTGATGTGATGGGTGGAGCCAGCGTCGCGACAAGACGCCTGTACACGGTCTCTGACCGTCCAGAGTAGGGCACGCCTCTGGCGCCCTAAGAGGATATTGGCGGTTAGAGCCATACGTGATTACCGCACCATGTCGACGGAGGCGGCGTGCGTGTTGGCCGGAACTCCCCCGTGGGATTTGGAGGCGGAAGTGCTCGCGGCAATATATCGGCGGATGGCTGAGTTCCGGGCGGATAGCGGCAATCGGCCCCGCCCGCGAGCCACGATGACTCGTTGGTCGTCCCGGTTGGGGCTCCTCTTGCGGGCTTTGCTGTCCAGCCGGTCATCGTCGAGTGGTCAGGGCGGCAGCATGGGACACATTCCTTCCGGCTGACGCAGGTTCATTCCGGGCATGGCTGCTTCGGGAAGTACCTGAACTCCCGCCTGTTACCACTGCGATTGCAGTGAGGATTCGGCTCAGACACACCGGCGATTTGTCCGGCCTGGGCGTCGCAGCGTCGGGCCCTCATTGCAGTCATTGGAGGGGATCTCTCGCTACCGGCCGTCATACGCTCCATGGCCGATAGTGACAGATGTTTTACCGCGGTCTCATCCTTTTGCGAAGACGTTATCTCGCAGAAGGAGGCGGCGGAGAGGGCCCGGGAGGATGACCTCCACTTGGACCCAATTCGCCGCGGGGAACCAGTCGGCGTAGGCGCACTTACCAGCACTCATGCCGCTCTGAGTGTGGCTACGGGTGGATGGGAAGGGTTTTCTTTTCCATCCGCTATCGTGGCCAGCCGCGAGGAGGCGACGTCCACGTGTGCCGGACGTCGCCCAAAATCGAGAGTTTACCCAAAGGTGGTGCCCGCGCTGTTGCAGGCAGGCGCTGGCAGGGGTCCGTATGTCTTAATATCAGCGGACCCCTCCTGTCTCAGGCGCGAAGTGGCACACCGTGTGGTTTTAGTCCGTTCGATTCCCACACACCGCCCCGCCGCAAACCCCGGTGGGGTGACGGCCCGAGAGGGGGTTCCGACACGTTAAAAAAAAAGGGTTTGTATCAAGTTTTCCTTCTTTTTGCAGTAAAGTATGATGAATCCTGTTATGTTCGCAGTTAAAACTATTATTAGTTTCTATAATGTGGTCTAAAATATAACTTTCATTATGCCCCTCTTTAGAATGGCTATCATTGTTGAAACAGAAAAAGCCGTTCCTTTAAAAGGCTTTCGAGGTTCTATAGGTATAACATGCAATATTGCAAAGAACTACATAGGAGTTAAAATCCACGCCTTCGCCCACATGGCAGGTAATCAGTTCCTCCCCCGAGACGGAATATATATTCCTAGTGCGTGAGTTGTCTTTAGAACAAAAATCCTTAAATTTGAACTGAATCGTTTATGCACAACAAGGTTTAACTTGTAGAAACAGCTTAACTTACATAAAACGTGAAGTAGTATTCTTTTGCTGACCGAAGGCGGCACTCCATTTGAAGCTATGCAGAGGTAAGCACCGGTCATGTTTCGTGTCACCGACGTCATGTTCAACCATACTCCGCTCCATTTGGTAACTGGAAACTTCTAACCGTGTATCTTATAAAGTTCAGTGAGCTGAATAAACATATGATAATTGAAAAGAGTTCTTTGTGAAATTATATTTGCATCAGGATATTCCATTTTTTTCTTTTTGACTATATACAATAAAGATATAAATAAATAAATAAAATAAAGCCTCTGGATCTCTATAGGAACAAGCGACTATCTTCGCGAATGTTTTATTTTGTTCAACTCTAGACATTTCAAAAATACGTCTATTTACATTACTTGAAATAAATTCTTTTGATTTCAAGTTTAATGAATCATGGAAAAAATTCCTGAAATATTTTCAACTCACTGGATTGCTTGTTAACTTTGAAGAATTCAGAATCTTCCCTTCTCCAAAGAACAGTTGGGAGTGGAATACCCGAGGCAGCGCAGTGTAATGCGACGTCATCTCCTTCCCGAACTATCATCTCGCCGCTACTATCCGAGTCTACGATATCAGGCGGCACTTAAATTATAACAAATTTATTAAATACAAAGTATACATTAATCCAATATTGTAAGTTATTATTAAGATGTATAGAAGTAAAAGCTAATAGTACAGGAAGTGTGTTTTAGTAATATTCTAGAATAGAAATAACTATGCAGTCCCATCTAGACCGTAACTAACCATAGGTTTTTAGAACCTATTCTATTATTATTTATTATTATTAGAACACGGATAAGATTTTTTTCTTAATGCATAAATGCATAAATATATATATACGATTACATTGTTCGAAAATCAAACCAGTGTTTATCAAACCGGTAGTAGAATAAGTATGATCTCTACAGCCGCGTCATAGCTGCCACATCTCAGGTAAACGGAAGGGAAGGCAACCTTCTCAAACTATATGGCGAATACAATTCAATATTAATATGTTGGCTAGAATCTATAAAATATGACAACACTTTTTCTTGAACTGGAACTATTTACATCCCTGTCATTATGTCACGTGCCAGATTTAAGTAATTACATCTCAGCAAAAGCACAATTAGTGCGAATTGCCAAACCACCACCAACCACCGGGGTGAAGTTGAGTTTTGTTTACATTTAGGACTTGATTGACATTTTACAAATCTAGGCTACAATATATCAGCCCCTACCGTATGGTTAGGGGCAAGATGCGCCCATGGGCCCCGCCGCTCACACGGTGTCTTCAGCCAGAGCTGCTTGAGAGGGTCGTTGGCTCCCTGTTCCCAACGCGAGTGGTGGAGCATACTCCGCCACAGATGGCTCCGCCTCCGGCGCTTGAGGCGCCTAACGTGGATGACGACGACGTGCCTGAGGTCACTGGGGTGGAACTAAGGGTGGCGGTGTTACGGCTTAAAGCCAAAAACACCGCCTCGGGACCCGATGGCATTCCTGGCCGAGCGTGGGTCCTGGCCTTAGTCGATGAGGCTCTCGAGCCCCGACTGCGAGGGTTCTTCAGCACATGCCTCGAGCGGGGCCAGTTTCCGAAATTGTGGAGGACGGGGAAACTGGTCCTCATCCGAAAGGAGGGGCGCCCGGCGGACTCACCGTCCGCCTACCGGCCCATAGTGTTGCTTGACGAGGTGTGCAAGCTCTTTGAAAGAGTGATTGCAAGGCGCCTCGTCAAGCATCTCGTGATGGTTGGGACGGATCTGGCGGACAACCAGTACGGTTTCCGTCAGGGGCGCTCCACCGTGGATGCGATCATGCGCGTGAAGGCTCTGGCGGAGGAAGCAGTCTCCCGGGGCGAAGTGGTGTTGGCGGTATCCTTGGACATCGGTATCGAGCCCTCGATCAGGTATCTGGGGCTCGTACTCGATGGCCGATGGGACTTCGGATATCATTTCCGAGGTCTGGTCCCCAAGTTGGTTGGGGCAGCGCGTGCGTTGGCGCGGCTGCTGCCCAACATGAAGGGACCCGATGACTCCTGCCGGAGACTCTACTCGGGGGTTGTGCGGTCCATGGCCCTTTACGGATGCCCAGTATGGGCGGGGGCCCTGAAGGCCAGCAACGTCGCGATACTGCGACGACCGCAGCGAATGCTGGCCATCAGGATCATAAGGGGGTACCGCACGATCTCCTTTGAGGCGGCGAGTCTCCTGGCCGGAACCCCTGGACCCCTGGGACCTGGAGGCGAGAGCCCTTGCGGCTCTGTATCAGTGGCGCAAGGAGGCGCAGGAGTTGGGTCGATGCCCCGAGATTCGAGAAATCGATGACCGGAAATTCCAACTCCGCCAGGTCATCATAGGGGAGTGGAGGGGTAAGACCCGTTATGGAGGATTGGCTCGACAGGCGTCACGGGACCCTCTCATACCGATTGACGCAGGTGATCACTGGGAAGGGATGTTTCGGAGATCACCTGTGTCTGATCCGCAAGGAGCCAACGCCTGAGTGCCACCACTGCGATGGCCAGACCGTGGACACGGCTCTCCACACTCTGGCAGAGTGCCCGGCGTGGGTTGAGCAGAGGCGAGACCTCGTGGCGGCCATCGGAGTGGGAGTTCTCTCGCTCGATAGCCTGATTGCGGCTATCGTGCGGAGCGAGAGTGCGTGGAACTCTGCCGTCTCCTTCTGCGAGCAAGTTATGCTCGCGAAGGAGACGGCGGAGCGGGACCGGGAGAGGTTTAGAACTCTCCCGGCCCGCCAGGCCCGGGCACGGGCCAGGCAGCGCAGGCGACTCAGGCGGAGGACTTATGGAGGACGGAGGTCGTTCTGCGACCTCCGTCCTGGCAGTCCTGTCCAGCGCAGGCCTGGGGGTGACAGGTGAGGCCATCTGTCACCCTAGCAGAAGCAGGCCGGGGTGGCGGCGAGCGCGTTGCGAAGCGCGCTCGCTTCCAGGGAGCACAGGGAACATGGGGTTCCCACACGGGGCGGGGGTCGTCTACTCGTCTGTAGATGACCCGAGGTATGTCGGGGCACCAGGGACTTCCTTTCTAGGGTATACCTGGTTCCCCGGCTATTAGTACCCGGCGAAGGCGTGCGGTTTTAGTCGGTTCGAGTCCGACATGCCACCGACAGGTGGTATCCGAGGGGATTTCCGCACGGAAAAAATAAAAATAAAAAGGCTACAATATATCAGAAATAAAATTGCACTGTTGACATCTAACGGCCTAAGATAACAACAGATATCAATCACATTCGAATTATTGAGATAGAACTAATGATTTGATTTTATATGTTATTAAATTGTCTTTTAATTTAATAAATATTTTAGGAAAATATAAGGACGTAACAAATTTCAAATCCAAATAAAAATATCAGGTAGATTGTCGACGCCTTTTGTTTGGGACAGAATGGCAGATTAAGCGCTAACTTCCTACGCGGTAATTAATAAAACTCAAGATAATAAAGACCATTGTAGGTCACCCATATTTCATTGTATTTGGAAAGTTTAAGAGAATAAAGTACTCGCTATTGTGTTATACCTAATTTACTTGGCCCTGTGTCATCATGTGCACTGGATGAAAATGAGCGCCTTTTTCTTGGCCCAGGAACTTGAAATAATCGTTTTTTATTATGAATCATCTTTTGAGTCAATTAATACTTTATTTAACTTACTTGTAATTAATATATTAAATCCTAACCTTTAATTGGTAACGCGAGTTCACGTCAGGTCTCACACATAGTTAATGTGATACCCAAAAATAATTTGAGGTGATTTCGAAGGGTTCATGTTTTCTCTTCTGCCTCCGTCTTTCTGCTTCTACCTTCTTTGCGTATGTGAGTGCGAATAAGAGTATTTAGATAACAGGTAACACATACCTTTGTATTATAACCACAATGACTAGTACCACGCAAAAAGACGGAAAAAAGTAGAGTCAAATCATAAACAATCAATTAATTTATCATAAATAAATCTGGTTACCGACAATATGCAGGTGGTGTGTCTGTGTGATCATTGGTTCTGTGTTAATCTGACACATGTATCGGCCTCCGTCAGTGGGTCTGATATCACGAAGGGTCAACGACCATGATGAATCACTGCGGGAGACCCCCACTCGATGATTCTTGGTGATGACATGCTGTCCAATTGTCAGGATCGTTTGTGTGTCGACACGAAGCCAGGCCACCTGATGTGAAAGTAGTAAATATAAATAATAGTAACAAAAACGTTGTTTTTCTAGTTTTTTAAACCACTATTTATTTAAAAGAAAATTATCTCAGCTGGTGCTAAAGGAAAGTTTCTGTTTTTTTACGGATTCTTCTTAATTTTCTCCTTATGTTAAGTATATATAACTTATATTGAATATAACCATACTTATATTTTAAATGTGAAACTACTAAGCTACATTGTTAGCAAGTAACATAGGCTACTTTTTACAGCGAAAACCAACAGCGGAAATGAATACATACATACTTGATTTCTAATTCTTACAGATTTTACCTACATTTTAAACCCCTACGTTTCAAATTAAGAATAAATATCCTGTTTCATCTTTGTAGCAGCAGTTATAGCATACATTCAGGCTCATTTAATTTTGAACTTCACACGTACATGGACGATTAACATTTAAGTTAAGCGTGAGAGGCGTGATCGCACAATATGCAAGTATCAAAATCAAGTAGTCGTTAAACACAGGCACTTGCTTCGTGAAAATTGCTTCCTTTGCGTTGAACATAGCTATATTTTATGGGTATAAAGAAATTTATATTTTGCAGATTCGAATAAAGTCTGCTGCGATGTGAAAATGTATAAGTGATCAGTCGTTATTCGTTTAACTTATTGCGTTATTTTTACTGTGGGTACATCCTTGATGTCAGTTTAAGCCGTGTAGTGTACTTGATGCCAGTTGTAGCTTAGCAACAATTTAAAAAAAAAAGGCTATTCTGCCTATTTAAAATAAGAAGAGGTCATTGGAATTAGAACGTTGCGACTGAATAAACATCGAAACTATACCTAAACCCGAAATGGAACAGTTACTTATTTATTTGTATAGAACTTGATTAAGATTTACGTATGTAATCTGTCGCAACTACTGGTGTTGTTTTTATGTTTCAATAATGCTTATTTACCTATATTCATTTAATATAAAAGATAGAAAATACAAGACAGAGAAAACTCTGCAAGACAACAGCACTGAAAAGAAAAGGCAAACTTGAAGCAAACCCTATACCAATCTGTCTGACCAGTGTGGGAAAGTAGGCCAAAACCGCCTTTCTAAGAAGAGATCTATGTGTCCAGCAATAGACTATTAAAGGTTGTTTATGTGATTATATAAAAGTCAACCTATTTTTTAACATTGTAAAGTAATCATATAGTAAACAAGATGTTAGATAATGGTACGTACCATTAGGCCCATATAACCACATGCTACATGCTTAAAATAAACATTAAACCAAGCTACAATATCTAAACAAGCAACCATTACGCAAATAGCTGTTTGAAGAAACTCATTTCCGCAATAAATGTTACAATAGTGACATATATCATAACAGGATGTTGTCCAAAACTGTGTA